TTCATTTGAAAAACATTAGATATTAGATATTTTCATTTAAAAACTATACATTCTTTCATTAGGTCAGTTTGTTTAATTTAATTCTCAAAGATAGATCGTTAAAGATTAAAAAAGAATTACCAGCAAAAATTTATTTTTTCATAAAATAAAAATAAAAGTATTTCGCAAAACATTTCTTTGGCAAAATGGAAATGCAGCAATCAGTGCTACATTTTGTGCTGAGCTTTTATGGCATCAATTGGTTGAATCTTTTGTAACTAAACTGAATGTTAACAAAGAAAGCCATCTTAAGTGTTATGGGATCATATGAAGTCTCATTCTTGTTGAATAAATGACTGTTGAAGTAAACGGCGTCTATAAGACCTCGTGAGATATCGAGCTCGTATAAAACAAAAGAGGAAATAAAGGAATTGTTTATTCGGGATCGGAAAACATTTTATTCGATCGGTGTTTCATTTTGGAAACACTTTGCAGATCGTTATTGTTTATACATCCGAGGTTTTAAGAAATAGTTCCGCCTTTTTGTTTCCAAATAACTCGGCAAAATTTTAGTTCTTAAATTTCGCGTTTTTAATTCTTCCTGTCATCTATATTATATAAAATAATAATGTGTGTATAATATTATGCATATGTTATTAAATAACCGATATATAATTCTTGTTATGTATTGGCAACAAAGTGAATATCAAGTGAGATAGTAGGCGGAAGCTTAGACCCTTAAACGTACATTTTTACGAATGAAAAATGAAATTTATAAATGAAACTTTTTTTCTAAAGTGGGCAACGACACGCTGATCCAATGAGAGAGTGAAGCGAGTTCGAATTGCAATCCTTTCGGAACCGTGAAAGCAATTTCGGGGGTTGGTGAGTTCAGCCAGTAGGGGTTGTGCCCCCTAATATTATCATAAAATCACACTTAGGTGATAACACTATTTTCTTTTTGGATGTTCTAAATTACGTAATTTCTACTAATTTAATAAACAAGAGAAAATTACGTCATCTATGCATGATGCAACAAGTATTAGTGGTATGGTTGCACGACTTTGTTTTGTAGAAAAAGCACTCAAATTCTAAATTTCTGTCACATTTTCAGCTATAGAAATATCGTCCTCTTTCTGACTAAAATTCATCTGAGTATTTGTACCCGATGGCAATAGCAGTCATAATAATGCCATAAAATTGATCAAAATTCGAATTTTTAACCCCTTTCCGGCATAAAAAAAACAAATAAAAAACTAAAAAAAAAGGAAAATAAAATGAAACTAAGAAAAGTTTATGAAAAGAAGTTTTTAAGAAAACGTAGAAAAAGAAAATATTTTTTTTTTAGTCACACCCACCTAAAACGTAGGGGATACACTTCTCGTAATGAATTTTGATTGCTGAAAATCCCCCTCCCAAAAGTCTTTCGAAAGTCATGCACCCTTCTTTTTTCCTTTTCGGTGTGACAAAAATATAATAATTATCTTCCACTTGAAAAAACTGGTTTTTAAAATTTTTTTCAGATTTATTTTTGTTCTCAAATAGTTTTAAATTAGCATGCCTCTGCTGAAGAGAACATCACGCCAAAACCCCGAATCTGTGAACTCAGCAGTTTTAATTTCCTTTATTTTCGACTGGTTGACCATCCTATACCAAAAATGGAATGTAAATGCCACACCTAAGTATAGTAGAATAGTATTTCTTTTAATTCGTACAATATGTAGTTTTTCAAACACTTTTAAACACGTTTATTTTAAAAGTAATTTTTCGCAGCATTCCTTAACGTTCAAGATTTTAAAGATAAGAAAGTGTTTAAAAAAAAGCAAATTTTTTGGCAAAGTCTGTAGTTTATTATTAGTAACACTGGGGAGAAAAGTATTTTCTCGTTTATTTTTTTTTATAACAGATCGTAGATAGTTTTGTATCGCTGATTTCAAATCTTTAAGCAGTTTATCTCTCCAAGTTACTGTTTTTTAAGCGACTGTTATTGTAAAAATTTGCAAGTTTAAAAACCTTATATATAACAGGGAAGTGCATAAATGTTTCAATAAACATTTAGGTCAGTTAAGTTACATTATAAGAATTAAAATTGTATCAAAACCCATGTCTGTAAATGTCATCATAAGCCGTTAGGGGCCCTTCCCTATTATGAAATGTTTCTTCGTGTGATTTTGAACAGGTCATGCTAAAGAAGTGCCACTACATAAGACCGCTGTTAAACATAACTCTTTTATTCACTCTTTATTTCGACAAAAAATAGACACAAACTGTCATTAAAAAAATTTTAAATCATCAAACCCGAATTAGGCAAGATCAAGTGTTTGTATCAATGCAACAAAAAATTTATTCACCATTGTAATTAATACATGAATAAAGATGGACGAGAGATTTATTTCAAAACCCTCTGTTTAGTGAAAATACCAACAATTGGTTACTTTTTGAAATATTAAAATTATTTTAAACTTTTTTATTCGATTTGTTAGTCAGTGTTGTAAAAAGAATAAAAGCATTTAAACTATCTCGTGTTTTCTATAATCTTTACTGCTATTTCTTGTTTATTAATACAATAAAAATCAATTAGATAAAAAAATTAATACCCATTATTTGGTATTTCTTCTTAACTATAAGAAAATATTATATTTTACTGATCAAGTTATAGTTTATTGATCATAATAAACATCATAAAGCATAGGTAAGAAACAAGCTATAGCTTTTTATAAGGCATCGAACATCATTAAATCAATAAATACAACATCTACCCCTACTAAACCTAAATATTATTATAAAAATCTTCGAATAATGCATAGATCAGATCAATATCTAGATATGAAGCTTCTCTTTCTTTCCGCTGAAGGCTTCATTCTTTTCTTTCAATATACTTATTTCAACTCTAGAGATGCTAAAGATATATGAAGATTGATGAGGAAAATTCAAAAAGATATATGAAAAAAATCTTTTCTAAGATTTGTTAGATTTTTTTTTCCTTTTCTATTCATTCTTTGGCCACGTTAGTGGTGTACTACTTGTAAATGCCATTATGTTTTCCATTTATTTTTATCTTGCTTTCAAAACAACTATCAAAACATCTGGGTAATGCTTTTCTTACGTATCCATATCATTAAATGTCTTTATTTCATGGCTGAGGATAATTATTTTCGCACTTTCTATTTTTTTTTCAATCCATTTTGTTTGTTTTTAGTTTATTTTAATAAAACGTTTCGAGGAAGAATTGTGTTCGCATTGTCTGAACTTTAAAAAAAAATTATGAAAATGGAATTCCTTTTTAAATAAGTCAGTTTTTTCTTTTTTTCTTTTTATTTGAGCAGAGGATAGGAAGTTTCAATGCTTTTCTAAAGTAAATTTCAATAGTTTTGCATTAACTCTCCTGTTAAAGTTCATCTTTTTAAAATAGTTACAATTTTTATATACCTTTATTTTGATTAAAAATATAGGCCCATTAATTTGGAAAGTTAGTAGTGTTAAAATTTTCTAACTTTATATCATAAGTATCAGAGAGGTATTAGAGAAGACTCCTGGACTTAATATCATAAGTATTAGAGAGTATAAAGGATCAACATAAATGATTTAATAATATTCCTTTCATAAAAGCTGACATTTAAAATCAAACAGATAGGCATTTTTTTAAAAAAATTTATTAATAAATCGAACAATATGTTACAATTTACATGATTCGACAATACCCTTGCAAATATTTAAGGTATTTTTAAGGTGGATTTGAGGTTTAGATATTAAGATTGATTTGAGGTTTATCTGAAGTAAACTTTAAAAACAATCTGAAAAAAAATCAACCTCCCAAGGTTTAAAATTAAGGTGTATGAAGTAACTTTATTCACAATTGAAGCTGTTTTGAGGTTGATCGAAATCTACCTTAAAGCAATCAGTTTAGAGAGGATATTTTTGAAGTGTACATGGTATTTTTACTTAACTTTAAACATAGAAATATACTTCAGGTGTAAATAATCCCCACATGTCATCTAAAAGTGTTACTGAGGTTGATTTTATGAGGTGCACATGAGTTTAAAATTGAGGTCCATTGATGAGGTTATTTTTATTGCAAAAATAACCTCATTTTCCTCCTCGATTATTTTTTCACTCCTGGCAACCTCAAAAACCTCTATTTTATTTATCACTTTATTTACTGTAAGGGTAATAAGCCCTAACCTAACCAAATCAAACGAGCCTAGCAAGCAGAATATTTTTTTTTATAAGTTAAAAAACCCTACACCATCTTTACGATTCGAGAAGTTTCCAAGATTCAATTGAAACAACTTCGAGGCCAAGGGATGTTCTCCTCTCGCATTTGCTGAGGAACGTGGAGGTAATGGGTTCAAATCCCATGGTAATCCTATATGCATCTTAGTTCTATCCTTTTTTCTTCCTATTAAAAAATTTAACAAGGGCTTATAAGTTGTTCTTTGAATTAAGTACACAAGAATGCACACGCTTTAAAAGTGTATGTATCAATAAAAGAAATATGTGGTTTCACCTTTTTAAAATATGAATTCTGTGACGTCGTTGCCCTACTTTCCATAATTATTAACTTAGCTTTTACTTGTGATAACCTTACATAGAATGCCTAAGATAAGTAATTCTTGAAAACGTGCAATGAAATTAATTTTTGATTAATTTGCGCTGTAAGTTAACAAATCACTCATACCATAAAATATTTATCAAATCTCTTGGAAAACTCATTATTTTTCCTGTAGCACTTGGTCTGGTGGTCGGATAGTTTTAAAGTAGACAGTGTTCACAGGTCCGCCGAATCTTCGAATGTATTTTCATTAAATTTGGTTCGAATCGGTTTAAAATTACCAATTTAAATAAGGTTCATGCGTAAAAATATTCTGCTTCATTCATATATAGACATCTGTAATAGTTAATATCATATTTTTGTTATGTTTTCTTTGATAACTATGTCATACCTTTGATTTTTATTTAAACACAAAAATTTAATTTGAGCAATAATTTTGTTCTTTTAATTTATTTTATTATTTCCATAGATAAGGACAATGGCTTCTTCCAAAAATTTACTCCTCCAGTTGGAAATAAAGAACAGACGTTTTGCTTTGACCCAACAATGTTTGCTTTAATTGGTGGAGGATTCTTTCTGGCTGAAATATGCGGATTTTCAGCGTGTCTTATTGCAGCTTGCAAATGGAAGGGGAAAGATTCCAGAGCTATCGTGAGCAAGCGTCGCCATCTATCGATACATTATGAAAACAGTACAGACACTTCTTCAGATATTTGTTCAAAATAGATCTCGTCTTTTTTCTTTTAGCTATTGTAATTCAATTATTTCTTAATTTTCTTTTTCGATATTGTGAAGAAGAATATAATTGTTTTAATTAACTTGCAATTAATTTTAAGCACATTTTTTCTTTAACATTTGATTTTTTAATTCAAACTTGTCTCATTAATTTTAAAAATGTATACAAATTTTATTTTTTGCTCTTATATAAAGGATGAAATATTCATCGTTTCTTTAAAAAAAAAAAAGCTTTATATTATAGTTTTCTTTGTTTAAGTTGTTTAGTTTGTTTGTTTTTTGTTGCAACCTTTGTACAATGTTTCACAAGGCAGCTATTTTTTGTGATGCGAAACATCATTTTACATTGTATTTGTATATAAATGTGTTACAGTTCTTTAATTAAATTTTACAAATATGAAATTTTCTTAAGCTGAAACTCGAAAGAAATTGAATTTTCAAAAGTAGGTTGGAAAAAAAATGAAAAATTTTGTAAATTAGTATTTGAAGACATAAAATTTTTCGAATAAGATTTTAAAGAAATTACATATATAAAAATAGATTTTAAAGAAATAAAATTTTTAAAGAATAATTCAAGCGAACTATTTGAAACTAGATTTTAAAATTTTTGATTTTTTTAAGCCGTTAAAAGTTAGACATTCTAATTATTATATGAAATATAAAAGAAGTGTGTTTGTAAACATGTTGAACTTACACAATTATTTAAAAATAATGTTTATATTGTGTGAATGATTTTTTGTTCCTTTTTGCGTTCTATTTATTTAAAAAATGGTGTTCAACCCGAATGCATGCATCAATTTAAGTAAGATCTATTCAGAGTATATTTTAATTTTATTTATGTGTAAAAATGGTAAAGGTTCATATGATCTGGGAATTGTTTTATTTCATTTTGGTTGTGCTTGTAGTTCTGTATTGGAATGGTTGGAATAAAGTGAAATTGATAAACTAATTACGTTTACGTGTTCATTATTTAAAAATATGACCAAATAATTTCCTGGCAACATCGATTATTGCATATAGTAAGTGATTTTTATATTCTGCTTACACAGCTCAAAGTCATGTTTAAGAAAATGGACGCAAGAAAAATGTACATTTTCAACCCGAATTAAACATATAACCGTGGAATTGTGTGCTTACTTTTGTTGTTGCTGTTGCCGCTTACCCATATCAACAAACATGCTTGGTGAAACTAAGTGAATTTAATGCAGAGGGTGCGTTTCTTGTTTTTCAGTGGCGCCATCTATGGCCAAGAATACGACATCAGTGACACACACTGCCCGTTTTTACAGGGTAGACCGATTCATACATCCATTTTTCCACAGATCGTAATTTTGACCTCTACCAGGGAATGATAAATCTCCAATTCAGTAACCCCTAGAGGTATGATTTGCTATGGAAACATGGCGGACTTTCTGACCCGACAGATTTAACCTGCACCAATTGCTATTTACTACACGGAGAGTCTTTGACAGGCGGGGATTGAACTCACGACCTCTTTGACATGGGCCCAACTCCCTAACAACTAGGCTATCCCAGCCACACTGAGTTTTTTAAACACAAAGCACAATCATTACCGCACTATGTTCAGGAATTTGAGGCGAAGTGGTTTTTAAAAATCTGAATTAGTGTAACGTCAATTTAATAACCACGATTAAGTACTTAATTTTCGACCAAAATTTCGATTTTTTTTTTTTTTTTTTGAAAGATTGAACATTTTTAAGTATGTGTACAAAATTTCAGAGCGATACTTTGATCTTAAAAGAAGTTATGACATTTTTTAATAGTTATTTGCACTACACAGCTGTCAAAAGGGGCGTGGCTCAATGTAAACAAACATTCAATGCATGTGTTTTTAGCAACAAAAATATGCCATAAATCAATTTTGATTTTAGTAGCTAAAAGTTGTAAGCTAAAGCAAGTTACCAAAAGATATTTTTCATATGCTGTGTACGCATCTAATTGATTATTTTGTTTCTTAGAGTGCTTCTAGCTGGTTATCAAAGTTTTTTTGTAACAACGGTCTTTTTCAAGGCCATATTTGAATACTTTTTTTTTATCGTTTCGTTATTTTTTTTGTTAAATAGTTAGTTATATTTTTATTTGTTGCTTTTTGTTATATATTTTTAAAAATGCCACGCAGAAAACGAGCATGGACTGCAGATCAACTAAGTGCTCTGAAACGTTGGAGCAAAGGTCAAAGCTTTTCGACTCTTAATTTTACGAGGGTTGCTATTTATATTTCTGGCCTTGGCAACAGTAAGTGTTGCTAGTCGACCGCAGACGATTTTAATCGAAAGTTTGATATTTTTAAACATAAATTCAGCAGACGATTTACCATTATAGCTTCATTTGTGTTGTTGACAGTAAATTGAAAAGTTCTTCTCTTTCAAAAAATGGAATTGAATCGTGAACATTTTCGTGCCATTATTTTTCATAACTTTCGACGTGGATTGTCAAGACAAGAGTGCTTCGATGAACTTAATTCTTTATTCAGCGATAAAGCGCCATCCTACAGCACTGTAAAAAATTGGTATAACGAATTTAATCGTGGTCGATGTTCGATCCAGGACGAATCCCGTGCAGGTCGTCCAAAATCCGTTGTTGTGCCAGAAAAGATCGATGCTGTGCGTGAACTGATAAAGCAAGATCGTCATGTGACATACCGTGAGATAGAGGCGTCTTTGGACATTAGTATGACTAGCATCAATAAAATATTGCATGAACATTTGAGCGTAAAAAAAATTTGTTCGCGTTGGATCCCGCATAATCTGACAAACGCTCAAAAAAAGGCTCGTGTCGATTGGTGCAAGGAAATGTTGGAAAAATACGTTCAAGGTACATCAAAGGCTGTGTATAACATCTACACAGGTGACGAATCATGGATCTATGCATATGAGCCGGAAACAAAACAGCAATCAACTGTATGGGTCTTCCAAGACGAGGCAAAACCAACAAAAGTTGTTCGAGGAAGAAGCACATCGAAACAAATGATTGCCTGTTTCTTCGGCATTAACGGTCATGTGGCAACAGTGGCGTTAGAGCAACGCAGGACGGTCAATTCTGAATGGTACACGACCATTTGTTTGCCAGAAGTCATCGGAGAAATTCGAAAAAAGCAGAAGAACAGGCGAATCATTCTTCATCATGACAATGCGAGCTCTCACACATCGACTCAAACAAAGGCATTTCTGACGGAGCGAAAGATCGAACTGATGGGTCATCCGCCGTACAGCCCTGATTTGGCACCCAATGACTTCTTCTTATTCCCACACATCAAAAATAAATTACGTGGACAACGATTTTCGACCCCCGAAGAAGCGGTTGATGCATTCAAAACGCATGTTTTGGAGTTACCTCAATCGGACTGGAAAAAGTGCTTTGAAAATTGGTTCAAACGCATGCAAAAGTGCATTGATCATCATGGAGAATATTTTGAAAAACAATAAAACTTATTTCGATCCTACATATTTGTTTTTTCATTATTAGGCCAGAAATATAAATAGCAACCCTCGTATGGTACTATATTGTATACAAAAACTACTAAAACTTTCTTATAAATAGACTCTAAGATTTCAAATTTGTTTTTGGTACTCATAAATATATGGCAAATAATTATTTGCATACAAGTTATGCATGCAATTTCTCTAAATAAATTTTTTTCTTGTTTCAAAACTTTAAATGCCTTTTTCGCAGCTTTCTATTTTGGGGTATTTCAATGCATTCAAGATGCTAAGGCATTTTTAAAAAATGACTCAGAGCTCTAAAATTTTTTATGAGTGTTTTGAGATATATGTTCTTTAAAAATTTGCATAGAATAAGCTTTGTGATTAAAAGAATTTTTTAAAATGATTCTTAAAGTCAAAAAATGTCACTATTTTGCATTTTTTTGGTACTAAATTGAAAAAAAAATTCTAAATAAATAACTATCACATATATTTACTATTCCATGCAAATTTTTATGTTAAAATGTATAATTAACATTTTCAAAAAATATTTTTTTAAATAAGTCTATTTTTAAAAAAGCCTTAGGGTTTTTAAAAAGTTTAATAAAATTCAATTTTTTTGAAATATTGAACTAACTACTGATTTTTAAAAAGAATTTCTCATCAAAAAGTTTTATTTCATGTTATTTCTTTCACTACCTTTTGTATTTTAAACTTTTTAATTTAAAATAACAGTTATTTATTTTTTAGTACTGTGCCGCCTTAAAAATTTATTGGACTGGTGGCAGTCTTGTAAAAGGACTGTTGACTCTTAACACGTTGAATGCCATAGAGGTCACTGGTGACCGACAATGAGTTTGTTCGTAGCGCCACGGGGTTTACCGGCGAAGGCAAGATTATTAGAAACACATGATTCGAGTAAATTTTGAATATTTTTATGTTATTATCATTACTAAAAGGGTTTGAAGAAATTAATGCAATATGAAACCCACAAAAATAGTTTTATTTATATACACAAAGATGCCAACTTGCTCCGGACAGCGAATAAATATTTTCAAGTGGTAGTTTATTAATTTTGATACTTGGTTTAATAAATTCAATTTAGTAAATTTTTATCCACCACTATTTCTAAACAATTCGTAGGCTTATATAATTCACCACTTCTTTCATATATGCCATGCTAAACCTTTTAAGAAACTAGCAAAGTCTGTCAAATTTGCAAATTTAGTTTGTAGTTATTTACCGTTTGGCCAGACGGGAAAGCCATGTAAAATTAGCGTGGTATTCAACATGTCAATATCGTTACAAAATAATAATTTTAAAAAATGTATGGAATGATTAAAGTATATGGATTCATGTTTATTTTCTTAAATGGCTACGTCTATTTTCTTAAGCACGCATTTTGAGTTTTGTCTATTTTTTGAAATACGCATCATATTCAAAATAAAATACTCACCGACAATATGCTTTTTGTGTGATATGACAAATCATACAGTTTTGTTCGTTAGAGTCTCTTCCCCTACAGCTGCACTCGTGATGATCAGTTTTGACGGTTCCATCAAAGAACAATTTTGATGGGGTATTAAGTTGGAAGTCATTGGAATATGGTGGTCAGTCTTGATGGTTCCATCAAGGAATAAGACGGATTTCGATAGAATATTAAGGTCGAAACTATTAGAATATGGTGATTCATGATGATTACTTTTGTTGGGCCATTAAAAAAACATCAAACCACGCTGCTTTTGCTCATGTTAGCCCTACATAAAGTTGTTCCACTTACTAATATGTGGAGATGTTTAGTCTTGATGGTATTAGAAGTTACATGGTTTTTGTTGAATGCTTATGATGGTAACCATCTTGTTCATGTTGGTCCATCATAGATAAACCATGAAAAAGTTTGTCTTGGTTAATGTAAGCTACACACATTTCCATTCTATAAGCATTAGGATGCGTAAAAATGATGTACGCACATGCTACTACAAACGTTTGGAAATTAGCGTTCCGTACACTTCTAAATTGC